AAAAAAAATGTATATCATGTGATCATCTTATTAACAGTGCTCTGCCAGTACAGTGCAATAGTACCATCTGATTGGTTGGGTGACAGGTGCTTAAGGCTGTACACCCTTGTCACATGAAATAAAAATACAGCAGCAGGACCAGGGTGGCAGTAAAAACACAAAAACCATCAGGTATGGGTTTTTGTGTTTTTACTGCCACCCTGGTCCCTCAGGCTGACAGCAGTGGATTAAAGATCCTCTCTTTTTGTCACTCTTTGGGACAATGAAATTCTTTAATCAGACCGTGGCCTGCTAATGAACGGAGGTGGGTAGACGGCCCGGGAGAAGAGAGGCAAAGAGGAAGGCAATTTCTGGAAATGATTACAGACTCATTTCCTTGTTTATCCTGCCTTTGAAAAGAGAAAGAGAGACCCCCTGCCCTCTACCCCCATAGGTCCTCCACTTATTGTGTCACAACCGCTAACCCCCCCATCCCCCTCCCCCTCCTTGCAAAGCAGGTGACAGACAGAAGGGATTAAATCTGAAACAGGAGAGAGGGTTACCTTTTCTCCAACGGCGCCAGGGTTTCCAATACCACCGGGAGGTCCCTGAGGGCCATCGGCTCCTGGGGGTCCTGAGGGGCCTCTAGGACCAGGGGGACCAGGTGGACCCTACAGGGAGGATAAGAAATGTAATGTAGAACTACATTTCACCTACATCCTGCTTGTAATGTATTGAATAGTAAGCCAATCAGAATGAGTATCAAATTATAATAATTCTTACCATTTGACCAACGTCTCCGGTTTCACCTTTCTCACCAGGTGGACCAGGCAAGCCCTGAGGAAAGCAGGAAGGATTTAATCATATTGTCTCACTGTTTCTCAATGATAACATTTGACCACAGTTTGTGTTCTTCATTACAGTCCGCACCTGCAGCCCAACTGGGCCTGGAGGTCCAGGGAATCCTCTTGATCCTTCATCTCCCTTCTGGCCGAACAGACCCTGCTGACCTCTGGGACCGGGCTCACCATCTGCACCCTGCACACAGCAACAGATAAAGGGAAGGAGGGGGGGAGGTCACATACACTGTATAGATACAGTAAATGAGGTGCTAAATGATCTGACGACACAACCCAAGCTGGATACGTACAGCAGGACCAGGTGCTCCAACGGGTCCTTGAGGGCCAGTAGGACCGGGTGGACCCTGCAGAGGAGAAGGAAACGCATCAAAATGACGGTCACAATTCAAAAGCAATGTATTTAAGAAGAAAATTGTAGGATGAATGATGAATAATAATAATAATAATAATAATAATTTCTATGATGCTGTAAATAAACAGTAACTTACATGTTCTCCTTTGTCACCCTTGCTTCCTTTCTGGCCTGGCTCTCCCAGCTCTCCCTGAGGAAGGAAAAGACCACAGTGTGAAATCAAGACAGAAAAATCTCTCAGTTCAAACTAACGCACGAGTGAGAGGGAGATGAAATATGACAAAGGATTTTGTTAAATTATAATCAAACGATCAAAGATGACACGTCAAAGCACATTAAAACTTACACTCATCTATATACTGCCATTCTTAGAGTCTGTCTGTGTATTTTTCGATTACATCACTCCTTTTTCTAACAAGTGGCGACAAATATAGCTCACATCTGAGAGGGGGGGGGGGGCTTATGATGATGGTTGAGCCACTGGTGCTACTAGCAGCCAAAACAGAATAGATAATTAGTCCCATCTCAACCTGTTTGCACCACAATTCCCAGAATGACGAACCTTGCACTATTATTTCAAAGCCTCCACATGCTGTGGGTGTTTGCAGAAATGCTGCTAATAACTAGCAAAGCCAAAGGCATTTACTTTTGGGTTTGAGTCAGACAATGCTCTTTGTGAGGCAGCATTAGTCTCTTAAATAAAGGCCTTGGAGTTGTCCATTCCCCTGTGGAATGGGACTAATAATGAGAAAGTGTCTGAATGTGTGTAAACATTAGCTTGCGAGATTCTTTTTATCTACATGGCAAATACCCTCTGTATTTGTCTGTGTCCGTCTACACCGCGGGGACCATTGTGAGGCCAGTTAAGAACTGAGGCATTCTTCAAAGGATAAGAGATTATCCTCTGAGTATCTCCATAGCTGATCTTCCTGCAAATGTTTTCAGAGGGGATGAGGAGATATTCTTGCTTCTGAATACCAAAGGGTCACTTTCACACATTCTGTCACTGCCACAAAATTTCCTCCCTCTCCCTCTGTCTGTTTGTACAGGAGGGTACAAAGCGGAGACGAGGCAGGTTTGCGTTTTAAAAGATCTGGTAATCGATGCAAACTCTGTCAGACAAATTCCCCTTTGAGCGTTTGAGGTCGCGGGGAAAGAGACAAGAGGATAACCGGCTTAGATCTCAGCTGTGAAGTTGAGTGTCTTTGGAAGATGGTAACTGTGTATTATACAGTCGTGTGGAAGCGAGTGTGTGCATGATGCAGAGTGCCAAAACAATGAAAGCTTAAATCAGCTTTACTGAATCTCTTTACCTGAACAAGAAAACAAACAAACTCACCTTGTCTCCATCCTCTCCAGGGGGTCCAGGAGGTCCTCCGGGTCCTGGCAGACCCACAGGTCCCTGAATACCATCTCTTCCAGCTGGGCCTTGAGGTCCTTTCTCTCCCTGTTGTCATAGTATATAAACATGTTGTCAGCCATGCTAAATTCAGCTATTTGTCTGTATGTCACAGCAACCTCTATTAATGTGATGTTCTTACCGGTCCGCCTTTCTCTCCAGCAGGGCCTGGAGGTCCCTGGGGGCCAGGACGTCCAGGAAGACCTGTAGGTCCGGCTGGGCCAGCAGGACCACGCTCGCCGGGAGAACCCTACAGTACCACCATGAAGCAGTATTATCAATTATCAGAGGATAAAATCTCAAAGTTTTAACAGTGAAACACTGAAACAAAGTCATAATGTCAGACACATCCACCAAATAGGTCAGACCTCTCTTATGTAAGTAGCAAACTGCATATCATTATGTTGTGTAAGAGCCCCGAACAAATGAGGGTGGGAACTTTGCTATGGAGACAATTCCCACAGATGGAGACATAATGTGGAAGGTGAGAGAATGAGAGTGACAAAGTGAGGATGTGATGCAGTAAATTGTACTCACAGCAGGGCCAGGAGGACCGTGAGGACCTTCATTCCCTTTCAGGCCGTGAGCCCCCTGCGGAACAAAATAAGATGACGGCTTCAGAAAACAAACATCTGTTGGGGGAAGAACACATCCTGTCTTACACTGGACTCCCTATCTTCAAAACAAGCTCAGTGTGAGATGGGAAAACCGCCTATAGTCCCCAAAGTGGAGGCTGAGAGCAGTGATCTAGCGAAACTGTTGCAAACATCCGTTACATTGCAAAGGAACAGGTGTATCGCATAATTTCTGCAACCATAAAGTTAAATGAAAAGCTGTTTTGCCAACAAATAAGGGCGGATTGCATAACAACCAGGACATGACTTTGTCAAGCGAGAGAAAAAAAATAAAATAAAATAAACACCCTAGAGCACACTGTTCCTTTACTGAAGCCCACACAGGGATCTGATATCATGTCTGAATCTTGAGGTTCACCACAGTCTTACAGAGATTTAACAGTCCAGAACTATTATGCAATAACCACGCTGTGAAAGATATTAAATCTGAGAGGAGCTATTGTACTCAATTGGAGCAGAAGGCAACACTCACCACAGGGCCAGGAAGACCTCTCTCTCCAGGGAAACCTCTTGGCCCAGGAGGGCCATCCTTACCTGCTGGGCCAGCAGGGCCGGGGTCACCCTGCAGGTCAGAGCACAAAGGAAGCAAATGTTAGAAGTGCTAATACAGATATGTATTATACTGATAGGGTGCGGAAATAGAGCTTCGGACGTCACCTTGGCTCCTTCTTTGCCTGCAGCTCCAGGTAGACCCTGCTCACCAGGTGGGCCTGGGGGTCCAGGGTGACCCCGATCTCCCATTGGTCCGGTCTCACCTGTTGGTCCCTATAATTGGGGGAAAAACAAACAAAACAAAACAAAACAAATCAAAACATAAATAAAACCATGGATACTACAGCATGACACCCAGAAGCAGAGGAGGTGTGAAGAAGAGGACGGCAGAAGGAACACTGTGAGCAGAATCAGCAATTTAAATACACAAAAGATGTTACAATTTCTCCAGCTATTACAAAACATGGCGTGGAGAAGCGGAACATTTGCTGTGTGGGCGGTCTACTAGTCATTAAGGCCACATACAGCTCCATTATCATCAATGTTCTCAGCTGGCATTAGCAGAGCGGCTGCGAGGGGAAGTCTGTTAAACGTTTATGCATAATGGATGAAGAGCCCACTGCTAACATGAAAGAGTATAAACAACACTTAAGTCACGGCTCGTGAGATATATAGGTACGAGGTTTGTCTTTGGCAGATAAACAAAACTGATAGTACATGTAAGGGAGGAAGAAGATGGTCAGTGACTGTGACTCACCTGAGGTCCAACCACACCTGGGGGACCAGGGGGGCCGGTCTTGCCTTGGAATCCCTGATTATTACAGAAGAAGAACAAAACAGAATTATCAACATGTGATTTTGGTGGAAGACAGATGAAGAGCTGAATAATCAGAGCACTTTACTCACAGTCTCTCCTCTCTGTCCAGGATGTCCAGGCAGTCCGTCTTTCCCTGCGGGTCCCTGATAAATACACAATGAGTTTCCATTAATATACAATACAAAACAAAGAGAGCGACAAAAGTTATGATGGGTTCATACAGAGAGCTGTGTGTGGTGTAATGAGTTTGGACTTACAGGAGGACCCTTTGGTCCTGGGAAACCTGTTGGTCCCTGAGGGCCTGGCAGACCCTGAAACAAACAACAAAAGACTTCTGGTTAATGATGTGTTGTCTCTCTTATGGAAACCGATACGATGCTGTTAGGCTGAAATGAACCGACGACCGCTGATGTGCGATGGTACGTACCCTCTCACCGGGAGGTCCTGGTGGGCCGTCATTTCCTGAGTTACCCTGAAGAGACATAAGGAGGGATTAAATGGTGGACTTGGAAACAACATATGCGCAAAATAGGAAATAAAAATAACAGTAATTTACATACCTTTGGTCCAGCTTTTCCGGTTGGTCCTCTTGGCCCTCGCTCTCCTCGAGGCCCCTTGAGAAAAGACGACGTGATTAAAATAATAGAAAGGATCCTGAGAGTTATTTGTGACCTGAAAATGTTGGGCTTAATAACTGTCTCATTTTGGATTCCCCTCAAGCATGCCCAGGTTGAATCTCCACTTCCACTCAGGTGCCAAGATTGCCATCTGTATATAAGCATGAGTCTGCTGAGTAAGACTAACCGTTGGTCCTCTCTGTCCGCGTGGGCCAGGCTTTCCTGCTGTTCCCTGTGGACACGAGGAACACACACAATGATCAAAGGAGTGGCACTCGCATCATTAAGAGGCTGCATCCTCTGGAAGGAGGAATCTAATGCCAGCAGACAGTCACATTTGCAAGCAGATTTCAGCAGAATTGGGCCCTTTAGTAGCTCAGAGATCATCTTTTAACATTAATTAGGAATTACCTGCTACAAAATTACCATCAGTATTTATCAGCACTTACATTACATCCATTACTAGCTCAGAAAATGACATTTTAATAAACAATAATGCACAATATAATGACTTTAAAGAAATATTGCAATTACAGCGCCTGCATACATTTTTAATGAGAGAAACAATTACATCTTTAGTGTAGCCTTTAAGTTTCAAACAAGTGCTGTGAAACTATGTTAATGGCACTATTATCCCTTTCTGTCTGCCGGCTCAGTCTCATAAACTTCACAAATGTTTTGTGAAGATGAAAATCTTTGTGTGCCTTGCTCCACTCTTGGTGACAAACCATTAGTCTTGCAGGCGAGCTAATGGCCCATCCCTTAAACAAAGAAAATGAAACATTGCACAAGTATCACAAAGTGATAAACAATGCTTTTGGTGGTTTGGAATGAGTTGGGTAAGTGGTAATCAAGAAGGGAATAGAATTGTCTTTCTGTTCTTTAGATTAGAGCCATGCAACCTCCTGTAGGTTGATAAATCTGGAGCCTGGACGGGAGCCTGTCTCCAGCGCTCGTATTGATCCTGCCTTTGTAGGAATGAGGAGATTAATAAGAAGTCTATCTGACATACCCGAGTTCCTTTCTCTCCATTGGCGCCAGGGAAACCTTGGAAACCCTGAGATCCCTGTGTGCGAGAACGACAGTAATTAATCATTTGAGAGAGAAAACTTAAATATTACATCCTTTGTTTATCCCCTGAGATATCCCCCGTTTATTAAATGCAACAGGACACTGGGTGCACTGTAAATAACAGCAGTGTTTTATTGTTGCCAAAAGGCATATTTAAATCCCCAGCTCTTTGATCAGGGAGCTTCAAGCATGTCCAGTTGTCAGACTGTGGCTGTGGATAAAGGATGAACTATCAAAGGTTCAGCAAAGCTGCCTTCACATGCACATGTGCACATTTTTCATTCTCTTTCAAATGTGCAGAGAAACATGAGTGCAGGGACATATTGGCCAAATTGTGTCCCTTTTCAAGTTACTCTATACTGAAAGCCCTGACTTAGTGACAATATTGTTTAGCAATACGTGCGCAATTACCTTTGGTCCTTGTCTTCCTGGGTATCCTGGCAGTCCGGGAACTCCGAGTTTACCCTGTGAATGAGAAAAGCCAAATGTGTTTTTAGATGTACTTCAAAGGCCGCTCCAGTGATTGATAATTGCACTTTCAAATTCAAATTTGTCAGACTCATTAGATACATGTTGAAAAACACACAATGGTCAAAATCGATTCAGCAACGGCAGATATCCTGGATCCTACAGTTCCCATAATGCAAGCCGACAGCTACTTTCAAAACTGCAAAACTCCAGTGTGTAACACAAATCAGTTATTTTTCAAACTTTACAAAGCTCGCTCCAGATCCACAGATCTTCACAGGCCGAGTAGTGCTCTGATGAGTGAACTGAACCTCGTGTGTAAAATCTCTATTTTGTTCTTTTTGGGGGTCAGTGCCCACGTTATGTAATTCCATATTGCACAATGCTTTTGATGAATGTATTAAATATATAAGACACTTAGTACTAATGTGAATTTAATGGGTTATCAGTAATGAAATCTCCAAATTATCAGTAGAATTCTATTTTTATAGAAGATAGATTCTTTACAAAGCTGATCTCCTAATGAGTATCCTGCAAACCTAAACGCACGACAAGCAGACTGCATCCGACACACTTTATACTACATCTGTAAGGCTGTGAATGTAAATACTTACTCCAATGGTAAAAACTACATGTTGTCTGTTGTGCAGTCTCTGATTATGAATTGAAAATGACTCAGCTGTTACCTCATGTGTGATCCAGATGCAGACCAGACTCCACATCTATAACGCTGCCGTAAAGCAAATATATGTACAACTCAAGATTCAGAGCAATCTGTGCGAGCCAACTTGTAACCTTCAGTGAAAGATCACAGAGAGGCTGCTTTACCTCGAAGAATAAATTCTGTTTTTTTTAAAGTGTTGTCAGCAACAGCTTAGCCAGAGTTCAATTTCACAATAATAGAATGTTAAGGACTGAATCCATTTTCTGCTCCCAGTTGATTCAAGAGCAGCAGCAGTGAAAAATCGGCTGCTGTTCAGAGCAGACCGATCGGAAAAACAATTTTCCTTGTTAAGCCCTGCTGAGCCATCATCCAAGATCAAACATGACTGATGATACAAAATAACAACTTGGGTTTTTATCCTGTTTTATCAGTCTGCGTAAAATGTAGGCATAGAGTATCTGTGGGATATCAGCGCGCCTTAGTTGTAGGAGCCGAACAGGAAAAATCACGGAGCTTACCTTCTCACCACTTGGGCCAAGAGGACCAGCATCTCCTGGGAGGCCTGAGCGACCCTTTGGCCCCTCTGGACCGTCTTCTCCTCTGGGTCCTGCAGGTCCGAGCTCTCCCTGGAAAACGCAAGAAGCAGAAGCCATAAATATCACATCCTTTCTACTTTGACACAATACACTGGACCCACTGTTATCATTAGGGCTGAACACATACTTGTACCTGAATATCATACATGGACTTATCTTTAATCATTGTCCCTTAAAGTACAATTTTTACAACCATGCTGAGAAATAACAAGTTTAATAAAATAGATTTTGGGGTCAGCATTGTCCTTCTTCTCTGGCTTTTGTTGGTGCGTTGCTATATGAAACACAACATTACACATTCACGTTGCTGCGCTCTACAGTTGGCAAGAATGTGTGTTGTGTTTAACACGCGTTCATGCACGTCCTGGTGCGGCGCCACTAGTGGTCAGAGTCTGCAGGGGAATTAAAGGTCTCAAAAACCTAGTGGTCAGTTTCTCACAGTGAGTGATGGTGTCCTGCACAAACACACAGTTTTCTGCAGTTGTTTTTTTTTTTGTCTCATGAGAGGTTTATATACGGGGTATTGTCATGTCTTCACTGAACATAAAAAAAAAGAAATGATTCACACTGTATTAGATAATTCCATATTCTTCGGGTCACATGAGGAACAAGATAATTCAGGTCACCCTTTTCAAACTGCTGTTTGTGTAAAGTTGCTTAAGCAATCAAGGGAGGCTATTTTCCCTTGCTGCCTGTCCCTCAAAGCAGTTAGCGATCCTATTATGGCTTCTCTCTGTAAGTGTGTTCTCCTTCAAGCAGGACACACACTAAATGATAGAGTACAAACTCGCTCTGACAACCGGTCGCTGCAGCGGCGTGTGAAAGGTATCTAGTTAAAGGCTTGTGCGGAGCTGCACGAGCGAGCGCAAGTGCGCGCGCCCACACTCCAGTACACATAAAACGGCATCAAGCAAACTGTACTTGACTCACACTCGCAGGCTCATCAAAGAGAACACTTTAAATTGAGCACTCACACACGCGCGCTTTTCATAGGCATGCTTAAAAATTAGTCATTTAGATTCTAGCCCATGTGTGTCTCCTCCAGAGCAGTGGGCCTCCTCAAATCTTTGCTTTCATCTGGATCTGCTACATCTCCAGAGGAAAAGAGGCTGGAGCCCCCTGTCCCTCTCATGGGTTTGAAGGGGTTTAAAGTGCCATTGATTTCTCCTTCCTTTCTGCACTCGGCTATACAGAGCCGGGTCAGGGATTGGGAGTTTGATGTTTGAAGTAAGAAACCGGTGCTAAGTTATGTTTCTCACTGTAAAAAGGTGTTTCTTCTTTGACTTGACAGTGTAAATCCCTGACGCAGTTTAGAAAAGGATGCTGGTGCTGGGTAAACCTGTCAAACTCATGAAGTTGCTGAGGTTTGGACTGACTGGAGAGCGGCAGAGGGGATAGAAAAAAGGAATTGGAAACCGCTCACGTAAACACATTCGCACGCGCGCACACTAACAGCTGGCAATTGGAACAACACCTTATGTTTGCTCATTACCCACAATCCCACAGTAGTCACGGAGGCATGGGCCATAAGGGGCTAACGTGAGAGACGTGGTTGATGCTTTGACTTAGTTCGCGTAAAGGTCACCCCCAACAAAACTTAACCCCCGATAACAGTTCAGAAGTTACAGCTGTTTCATTATAATATAATTCATCTGATGAGCTTCTGTCAAGACGTGATGGACACATCCGGTTGAGTAAAGTGTAAACAAAGAAGCCTTACCCTGTCGCCCTTGATACCCATATCTCCCTTGAAGCCGGGGAAACCATCTTCACCCTAGCAAGAGAATAAAGAGGTGAGGATGTAATGAAGGAGAAAGAATTGGATAATACAGATGGTGAAACCATTTGTGTTGTATTCGTACGCAGACACACACACACACACACACACACACACACACACACACACACACACACACACACACACACACACACACAGATATGAAGTCTTGGCAGGATCTCTTGTTGCCATAGAAACTCTTGATTGTGTTTCTTTTTTTTCTTCTTCTGTAGCAGCAAAATTCAGATGAGTTTCACCAGAGTTTTCATTGAGAATATCATTAGCATGAAACATTTCACGCAAGACCTCCACCGCTCTCATCATCATCACCGTTAATGTTCGGTATAATTCATACAAATAATCCAATTTCTCAACTTCAAAGTCTCGTCTCTTCCACACAGTCACAGCCAGCTGAGCTGAGCTCTCTTACCTTTTCACCCTTGTTTCCTTTAAGGCCGCGCACACCGTCGGCTCCCTGTGATGCAAGAACAGACAGAAGTTACAGGGTGCGCAAAGGAGGGGGGCAGAGGGGGGGGGTTTGAATTATATGGATGAAGTCCCACTGTGACGGGAGGATATTCACCACCAGTGTGATGGCAGAAGCTTTTTTCTAAAATCAGTCACAAAAGTTATTCGATGTAGCCGATTGTCATTACTTTTTCCACAACGTGTCAAGCGAGTGTGTTATGAAGGACACGCCCTGTGATTTAGGAGTTTTACCTGCATTTTAGCCACTGAAATCCTCACAACTTCCCTTCCTGACCAGTCTGATCATCTTCCCTCAGACTTCAGCCTTGTTACTGGGGGTCTGTTAGCTAGAAGTCAAGCCACTGGTGTGATCCCCTCTCTCAGTGGAAGCTTTAATGTTTGGATCAGTCTCACCACCTTGCCAAGGATTTATTTGATGGAGTTTCTTACGTCACGTTTTACCAGCTACTAATGATTCCAAACAAGAGAAGGGCGGCGCGCCTCGAGTTGTCTTCAGCCCCTGTGACTAACCTCAGCACCGTATGGGAGCTAAAGGATGTAAGATCTGAAAAGTTGTCTCTCTCGTCTTTATCTTTGCATCATTAAGATAGTTTTTATGTCTTTGGTTCAATGGTCCACAACAATCAACACGGTTCTTCTTTGAAGGAAAATTTAATTTGCTAACTTTTTTTTATTTTTTTATTTTTTTACAAAATCAGACTTGCTTGGTTGGACAAACCTTGGGAATAATAATATAACTTTTGTTTTTTTTAGAAGAAGAACTTTTAATAAGATAGTGAGAAACTATTAGCCTATAACAGCTGTTAATTGCAAAGCACCAAGAGATAATAATACACATGAATTTTTTAGTGGATGATGATCAACTCACCTTCACGCCTCGGGGCCCAGGATAACCGATGGGTCCTTGAGGGCCAGCGGGGCCCTGGAGCGAGAGATGTTTGGTAAGAGCTCGTAACACACACACAATTACAGTACACACATGCACCCACAATGTGAGTGTTATCTAAAGTACATTAATGCAAAATGTTTTATGCATATTTGTCTGAACTAGGACAAAGGGAGGAAACAGAAAAACTTAGAAAAGCATTAAAAAATTAAGAAAAGAAGAATTGCAAGCTCCAAAAGTGAGAGAAACAGAAAAAAATAAACTTACCATGTGTCCTTTCTCTCCCGGAGGCCCCTCCTTTCCAGGGTGACCCTGTGAATTATTAAGAGAAATATTATTGCATCTCATTTCAGGATAATTACCACCATAAATACTACAACGCCCCCAATAACTGAGGGATTAGGTTGTAAAACTACTGCAGGACGTATCAAACTGGAAAATTGGAAACAGAACCTTTAGAGTTCAATCTCATTTAGGATTTTATCCTTAATGCACAGTATTATAGAGGCACTACCGGCCATTACTGGGCTCTAAAAGTCAAGATTGCCATTTTGAGACTTAAGACATTGTACACATTTTCTACTTGCATGTGCACACACACTTGCAGAAGAAACACTGATTTAATACAGACATGGGTGTCCAGTGTGTGTGTGTGTGTGTGTGTGTGTGTGTGTGTTTGTGTGTGTGTGTGTGTGTATGTGTGTGTGTGTGTGTGTGGGGGGGGGAATTGGAAGGAAATTGATTGCATTCTCATGAGACAAAGGAGCTCTGCAAAGCCTCTGATGGGTTTTTAGTGATGTGAGAGAGGAAGGAGAAGGAATCAGACACTAGAGAGGACAGAAATGAGGGGCAGGGAGGGAGCATTGAGACTGAGAAAGAAAATATTGCAGCTGATGGAAGATGCATCCTCCATCTCTCTTTCCAGTCTTTCACCAAATCCCACTTTTTTTTTTACACCTTCTCCTTGTGTCCTTTCCTTTCAGTACAGTTATTCATATTTCACCGCCTCCCTTGTGTCTCTCTCTCTCTCTCTCTCTTAGGTGCCACCTGCACATCTGACACAGCTGCCATTAGCACAGGTGTCTTCTGTGCTGTCTGTGCAGAGATGGGAAAGAGGGTGTTTGCATGTATATATGTGTGTGTGTGGGCGGGTCGCTCCACTGTTACACAGCTGTGCTAATGTGTTGTATCATTCATATGTTTCAGCCAAATAATTATCTCAGCGTTTTCAAAACATTAAAATTTGATGTGCTGCTTTGAAAGAAACCTTCTTTCTCACAGTTTTGCCAATTATAAACAGTTTTTGAAAGACAGAGAGGGAGAAGGAGAGAAGCTGGTTCACTTTCATTCATTTCTTTGGATGTGTGAGTGTTAACTCACCGGTGGACCATCTGCTCCTGGCATTCCTGGCAAGCCTGGCTTTCCAGTAGGTCCCTAGACAGAAGACAAGTGGTTAGGGTAAATAAGACATCACATAGTAACAGGCAACACGAGGCAATCAAAGGTTATAGGGGCCATAAAAGTCTGCAAGAATACAGAGTCTGTAGAAACAACAGTCTACAGCCATGCTAGCAGCTCTGTGAGGCTACACCAAAGCACAGCAGTGCTTGGAACCAAATGCTAACGTCAGCATGCTAACATCCTCACAGTGACAATACTAACATCTAGTTGTTGAGCAGGTATAATGTTTACCACGTTCACCATCTTAGTTTAGTGTGTTAGCATGCCAACATTTTGCTTATTAGCAATACACATAAACTACAGCTCAGGCTAACAGCAACAAGTTGTACAAATTAAAATTTTGACCTGATGATAGCGCTAAATGTTACCTGCCTAGGGACTACGGCTGTAAATGAACATTTAGCTCATTAACATGCACTGTCCCTATCAAATAAATAATCAGATCAACAACATTATTAGAATTCATTCCGAGGGGGACATTGGTGTGTGTGTACTAAGTTTCACAGCTGTTCATCTAATAAGGTTCATCCACTGGGAACCATGAATATTAGCCACTAGCATGGTGAATAAAAATATCAATCCCTACGGGGTGTCACATTTCTTTGTCTAACTTCACTGGCTTCACTAAAACATGCAAATGGCAAAGCAGCTGTCTTTGAATCAAATATTTAGTGATGTACCGACTTTAAGATTGTAAAAACTTTTTATCATTTATATCTATTAAATCATCCAGTATGTCTGTGTTTTAATCAGCGTGGGCTACTGATTACTTCTTTGAACCAACATTTTCAAATAAATGATCTTGCCTCTATTCTCTATTTCACTCTTTTATACTTCATCAAATACCATAGCCTTCTAATATTTCCTTTCAGGAGAAGGATGATACCTACATTATTCGTTCTCAAATTCCAGCTGTTCAATAAGAAACTCAATCCCCGCCACATCAGATGGCAAATGTGATTTAGCTGAAATTGGATTAAAATGCATCAGGATTAAAATCCTGTCTGCACTATTTGATCCTGTGTTGGGATGGGGGGTGGGGTGGGGTGGGGGGGGGTTGCCTTTGCATATCAGTGTGATAAGCATTTGGAACTGAATAAGACAGCAACTTGGCTTTCAGTTCATGCAAATGAATTTCCTGCAGTTTCATAGATTTTTGGGGGTCTGTGTTTATTAACATTTTATTACGCTGGCGGTATTTTTTCCCACTGTGGCGTTGCAGGAATGGCGTGCTTCGTCATTCAGCGATCAGGTGATATCTTACCTTCTCTCCTGGAGGTCCGATGGCCCCCTGGGGCCCTGGAAGTCCCTGTGGAGAGGATACGAAATGCTCAGAACGTTTTCCTTCATGGATGAAGAGAATAATCTAATGTCAGACAACCTGTTCATCACTGACCTGGGCACCTGGGTTGCCTTGCTGTCCGGGAGGTCCTGGCTCTCCTTGAGGTCCCTGGAAAAAACACAAACAGCTAATTTTAGAAATCTCATTATACATATAAAGATTGATGACTTTATTTTCTTGAGTAAAACGTCTCGTGTGGAGGTAGGAGTGATTTGTTTTGTCCGTATGGGACATTAAAAGTGAAATATTGCTCTGAACAGATATAAATTAAAAGCAATCCAACAGCGCATCACTGTATTATTATCGTCTTAGACCTAAAAGGGCCGTCACTTTTGGACAAATAGCACAATATCTTCCTGTGGCTCAAGGGTAGACGGCACACACACACACACACAGACACAAACACATACATAGTACACATTCTCACATCTACTTTCCTAATGAAAGAAACTGCTGAACCACAAACACCTTCCCTCTCAGAAAACTGGCAATCAATTATGTTGCTCCGGTCCAAGAGTCTGGGAAAGCTGTTGTTCTTCCGTCTCTACCTAGTTGGAACATTCCCAACAGAACGGACAAGCTGCTCCAGCCAGGTATTTTCTCATTATGGCCTAGCGCTACCAGAAATTGACCTGGAATGATACAATTGGCGATGGCGGACTGCTCAAATGGATCTAAATACAGCCGGTCTATTCTTCATTATCTGCTAAGTATCCTCTGATTGTACTGGTGTGTGTGTGTGTGTGTGTGTTTGTGTGTGTTTGGGTGTGAGAATAAAAGAGAGAAAGGGATCTGAGAGCAAAATAAACAGAAATAGACAAAATTGTTTCTGCGATCGCCTTGTGTGTTGTGTTCTTCTTCTTCTTCTTCTTCTTTTAGTTTGATCTTGGAAATGAATGGTCTTTGATTCTGTATATAAGCAGCTTAATCAATTCTAGCTTCACTTACAATGTTTCCTTTGGGTCCAGGGTGGCCATCCATTCCAGTCACGCCCTACAGCGGAAGAGATGAGCACAACATTCAGCACGTACACATCACACGTAGCGTACGAGGGGAAATCTGGGGTCTCTACATCCTGCTATAGCAGCTCAAACGAAGCCATTTGATTGATGCACAGTGTCCATGTTAAATTAAATCTGTTGAAACAATATAACATATGCTACTCGTTGTGTATGCTGTCGGAGATATATTGAGTTTTGTATTTCCCTATGGATGCTGTTTGAAGAGTCTTTTGTTCTTGTTGCCTATGAGATGGTGAAAAATTGATTCTGCTCTCAAAACAGTAAATCTAAGGTAACAGCGCTGGATATGAAGAAGAGGTGAGAGGAGGGTACAGGGCACTCACAGGGGGTCCGGGAGGTCCCTGAGGTCCCTTTGGTCCGAGCAAACCTCGTGGCCCCTGTGGAAGAAAGAAGGGAAATTAAACTGAGAGTGATATCACACCTGTGAAGGGACTGATGAATTATTAAACGTGTTCGGCTAAATCAACTTTCAAACTTATACTTCTGGAAGCAACGTGACTTCCTAAATGTCCTTGAGGATATTCTTCAGAGTCACATTTTGAGAGAGAGCTAAAAGCCCCCACCCCCACCCCCACCCCCCTTACTACACATTCATTCCCTACAGCTATGCCTATCAAACAATGCTTTGAATTTCTGTGCTTTGCCTCACAGCTACAGTTACCTAACAAGACGTACTGTCCTGGCAATGTGAATTCAAACCAATGTAGCACACCCTGGTGGACAAAATACATCATAGCAGGAGATATCAAGGTCTTTCTGATGGTTTTTTTTCCTTCCCTGTCTCCCCCCCCCCTTCCCCTCTCCATGGGGAATATCCTGCCTGAGAGAGTGGGAGGCTATTATAACAAGCTTGAAGTGAACTGCCTGCGTTTCTCACCTCCGATGATTCTTTTGTATAGATGAGACTCTAGCAAAGGCCTGATCAACATGTACTTTCTAGCAATATCATGCAAATTCATTTACATGAACAGCGTCTGCAGTTTGCATATATGATATGATATCATCACTAACACACACACGGCATTATGAGAGCAGGCCCTGAGCTCTCAGCCCTATCATACAATCTCTCAGTGCAAGACTGGATGGTAATACACGTGATCACTCACTGGTTCACCAGGAAGTCCCCTGGGTCCGATCTCTCCATCATCTCCCTGGGAAAGAGAGAGAACGGGTCAGAATGTGGAACAGACAGTGAATGATAATGGAGGGAGAAAGTGAAAGGGTGTGTGTGTGTGCATGTGTGTGTGTTACAAGGAGCAAGAGATAATGAGAAGGCACAAAGAAAAAGCAGTGGAAGAGGGGATCAGGTTGCATCAGCTGTTGGTAATGAGGATGGGGAGGGAGATTAGAAGCAGATGAAGGTGTGCTGAGATCAGAAAAATATTAGGGAGAAAAATGAGTGAAAAAGGGGAGATGGGGTAGGAAGGTAGAGGAAGTGAAATTCAGATGCTGACAAAAAACGGAGAGTTTGGTGAAAGGGAGAAGTTCAACTTGGGAGTAATTCCTGTCTTTCTGCAGCAGCAGTAAGAGTCTGGGGAAGAGATACATCAGAGACATGCACACACTTATTCAAACGCAAGCAAAGGGAAATAAATAGAAAACAAAAGGTGTGAATTTTTTTCTTTTCTTGTGTTACCCTCTCTCCATCCTCTCCAGGAGCACCAGGAGGTCCAGACGGGCCAGGTTCACCCTGTAACAACAAACATTTAAATTTAACAGTGGCACACGTCAAAGCAAACACACGCGCACGCACACACACACACACACACACACACACACACAAACACACACACATATCATTACAGAACAACACTTTTTATAGAAAAACAAAACCACTTACTCTGTGTCCTTTTTCACCAGGAAGTCCAGCCAGACCATCGAACCCTCTGTCTCCCTGAAGAGCGGGAGAAAAAGAGCGGTTTGAGTACTTCCCGTCCAGCCTTCAAAAAACTCACATTTGAACTGGTTCCATGAAATATGGTGCATTGGAACTGAAGTGGTAAAGTAGAGACGACTATGATGGACAAGGTACCTTGGGTCCAGATTGTCCTGGCATGCCCCTGGCACCATCGGCTCCAGAACGGCCCTGTTTAAAAAATAAATAAATAAATAAATAAGTTTGAAAACATGCAGCCGAAGTAGAGTGAATATACAGTGACGGCTAGAAAACACCTGGGGTTTTAACTCAACACTCCAAAATGTAAATAAAATATTATCTACAGCACGATTGTCAAAGTATATATTGCATGCTTTGCTGCTGACGGCTCCGTTCGTGTCGCTCTTACCCTTCTGCCAGGTTTTCCAGAAGGTCCAGGGGATCCCAAAGGTCCACGTGGTCCCTGAAAGAAAAACACAGGAGTTTCTGCATTTGTAGTCTCTGAAACCATCCTGGCAATATCAAACTAAAACGAAGAAAGTTGCGTATTACTTTGGGGTTTTTTTTTAAGGACTAATCCAATACTACAATAGCTCAACAATATATACATTAGTTAAGGGTTAACAAGTTTTCAGAAGGGTCTTGCTTAGCTTTAGTTGTTTTTCTTTTTCAGAAATGGATTTTAAAACAAAACTTGGTATCTTAATATCTTATACCTGAGGTCCTGCCTCTCCAGACTCTCCCTTCAGTCCCGATACACCAGGAGGACCCTGAGAAAGGAAAAAAAAAAGAAGATCTTTCAGCTCAGCTGCAAACTGTTTGTCTATTCATTTCTCTGTACTGTGGACCACAATAACCTCTGATCAAATATTTGACAAAAAAGATTCTATTGATTTTGTGTGTGTGTTTGCCGTGAGGTGATTTGAAATACGCACCAGAGGGCCGGGTCTGCCAGTCAGACCCATTGGACCTGTAGGGCCGCGCATAGCCAGCTGAAGACAAGGACGGAAGAGATTAGCAACAAGATCGTGAACAAGATAAAGACAAGAATATGCAGAAGATAGAACAAAAGCCCTTGTACATTTAGCACATGTACTGATAAATATATTGTGTATTTATGTGTGTGTGCTGTAAGTGAATTTGTGTGCTCCATGAGTGAAAGTGTATATGAATCATGCATGTGAGGAACTCGCAGGGACAATGTGACAGTAATTGAAAATCATTGAAATACATAGAAATACAAAGAATACAAAAACGTGCATGTATTACAAATGGCAGCAAAGATGGCACAAAATAACATTAAACATTAACAAGACCAAAAAAAAAGACATCTTTCAAACATGATAAGCAAGTTTGAAGAATGGAGAAAAAAACATTAGTATATACAGTATAATATTGACTACTGAAGTCTGATGTGTTTAGGTGTGAACTGTTACCCTGGCCTGCTGCATGATTGATTGCATCTGGGCCTCCTGTGCTGATACAGCAGGTCCCTTCTGTCCGGAGTCACCTCCGGCGCTGAATCTGAACTATGGAGGGAATCACAGACTGAGATGAGACTTCGTCCCAGTGAAAAAGTATTCCAGCATAGTTGTGGCACTGGCAAAACACAACAATAAAAACCAGAGAAACATTTGGAATGACTCAAATAATGACATCTCTTGCAGCAAATTAAATATTCAAGTTTAAAAATTCACATCTATTCCAAAGAATATTGTCAGTAATTTTCCTTTAATGCAGCGTTCCCATCTTGAAACTGTGCAACAGATGTTGAACTAAGCGTCAATCTCCAGATGCCAAACCAGCACCATCAAAGGCTGCCTCTGCAGGCCGTGTACTTCGAATTCTACTGGCATCTGGTGGTGGTTCGCAGGCATTGCACCAAAAGGTGAATATCCAGGCTTGTGGTATAATTCAGGTTTGTTTAGCTCAGGCGTCCAGAGTTGGATTACACAGCACACTCTTCAGGAGGTCGACTGCTGGGTGGTTTACAGATGCACAGCAACACACCAGCGAAGCACTGTGCAGAATTTCAACATCACTGAAACACTGATACCAAGAAGCAAAATACAAACAGTTGATTCAGAACATCGAGGCTGAGCCAGATCTACTGCAGCTCACCCACCACGAAGCAAATTTCTCCAGAGCACAAAACTCTACAGCTTTTGATCAGATCCTACAGTTTCTTCTTCTATCTAAATTTCTGCTGAGTTTGATTAAGTATTGGCCCAACCCTTTAGAAATCTTAGTCACAATCAAATATATGCAGCTATTTCTTTTTTTCCTGTCTGCCAATCCCTGGTCTGTCTTTGATTCTTCCCGTCTTCATCTATTTCACGCATTATGTCATTACTCCAACAATGTTCATTTCTTTACTGACATTCCTCTGCATCATCAAACCTTGAACAAAATGTTCTTCCACATCAGATTGTTGAGCAGCAAGGCAGGGAAATGGAAAACAAACTCTGATTGGAGCTACATTATTTTTTAAATAGAGCAGATTAGAAAATAAAGAAAAGATGCATCACTTGGGATGAATGAAAGTGGGCTGTTTAAAAAACACACACACAATGTTAAGATTTGTCATTTAACCCTGTCACGCTGATTCCACAATTTCAACACGACGAGCCAAAAAGTCCTTCGGTGAAATAACAATGCATGTTTCTCATTAGGGCTCGCAGCTCAGGGGTCGGATTTCAAGTCGTGCTCTCTGCCAGTGGATACACCAGAAAGACTCGAGTTCCTGTCCAGACAGAGCTCGCCACATGGCTCACCCAGACAGCTTTTTGTGGACCCCCTGAAACCGCAGCTTTACATCTGTACAACTAATCAGTTCCAACGGCAACAGTGTCACACATCTTCCAAGAACAAGGAAGAGAGATTAAAAAAAAAAAAAAGGTAGACAGCATATGAAGTCGTTGGGACTTGCTGTGTGACTGCTGCAGTCCAATCACTGGATGCAGCTGAAGCTACAGAGAGAAACCACTGCTTTGCTTTGCTTCCCGCCTAAAGCTAGACGACTTCCTGGGAGACAACCTGATAGGTGACATGTTGGCTTCAGAATGTAGAAAACTGTAGGTAAAGACAAGACTGTAATACGCAGGATTTAAAGTCAGGACTCAAAACAGCTGAGAGTGAGCACTGCGGGTGATAAAACAGGGCCGATCTCACTCATTAAACACACCACAAGGGGCTGCTAAAGCACAGATTTACATTACAAGATATTCGTGAGGTCCATCAAACACGCTTTCAAAGGAAACCCCCCTTCATTCCAGTGAGCTGTGTAAACCACATGTCAGAGTTATTGATAAAACAGAGGAGGATGCATCACACTTGGCTTTAAAAGAGGCTAAACAAGGATATAAAGTCACATGGAAAACATTTTAGCGCTTAAAGCGCGGCAAACATAAAAGCAGAGTGTGTTTCCTATTTTGCTATTTTTAACCCTTTTTTTTTTTGTTGACAACTGTAATTTACTTACAGGCAGCATCAGGACAGTGCCAGGGGGTCCTGGCAGACCATCAGCACCAGGGAGACCAGCGCGACCCGGAGGACCCTTTGATGAAAAATAACACACGTAAGGACACGCACACAGAAAGAAATGTGTTTTTTTTTTTCTCTTCTTTTTTAGAGCTCTGGAAATTAGTGTGACATATAAGAATCTATACTCACCCTCTCTCCAGGATCTCCAGGACTGCCTGGTGGGCCAGAAGAACCTGGGGGTCCGGGGAGACCCTATTTTAAGCAATACATACAATACATACATAAGAGAACAGTCATATTTGCTCTACTAAACGTTCTGGCCTTTTATCTGGCAAAGTGGTCACACATGGGAGAAAGGAATGCATGAGGCAATATGGGACAGATTGTTGAGTTGTAAATCCTTTTGTGAGGCGCTCTTTATTTGTCTATAGCTCAGTGCTTGAATGGCCGGCCTCGGTGAGACTCCATCTGCATGGTGTCAAGAGCAACTGTGTCTGAAAAAAAATCTTCCAAGACAAATAATTAAGTTCTCCTACATCTTGGCAAGTCCATATCTCTTCAGGGGAACTGTTCTTCTCCCACTTTTCATTAGAAATCAGGCAGCCAAGGATTTCCACAGCAAAGCATTAAGGTTGAATTTTTTCTTTCCAAAAGACGCAGTGTGAAAATGGGTGACATAAACCATTATCATCTTTTATTTATCAACAGAGATTACAAAGAAAAATGACTGTGTTTAAAAAACAGAGGGAAAAAGAGGATATGGGAAAAAAACAGAGGAAGTTAAGAGGGAGAGGCCGAGAGTGACAGAATCTGAGACAGATTGACTTACTGTTGGGCCTTCAGGCCCAGGCGGACCCTCCACCAACATTCCCTGAAACACAGAAAGATACCATCAGATACCACACGGGTCACGGCCTCATTCAACAATATCACAGTCCTTTGTCCATAGAGTCACAGCTTCAGTTAAAGGAGTTGAGAGCACATGTTCCAACACACCTGTTTATCAACCTTCAATCTAAAAGTCTTTGCCGACTTTATGTACATTCCTGCCTGTCATTTCAGTTAGGCTTGCAATTAATCCACAGAGAAGAGGAGAGCGAGTGACGGCAGAGACGCCCTCGGGTGCTCTCCTACCTGGACTAGCTAAAAGTAAGTGCAAACCAAATTTAAGTTAATACGTTTTAGTTGATACCGGCAGATGTGTGCGTCTCTTCCTTGAAATACATTATTAAAGTGTGTTTCTACCATACACGCTATGCCTATAGTGAAAAAACAGCAAGCCTCTGACTCGCAGACACACTGTTGCAGCTCCGTGGCTGCAGATATATTGCTTTGTTTATTTGCTCTTGTGGTAACACTTTGGCTTCCTGCTTTGTTATGAAGGACGAAAAACCCAGATGTTATCCAAACTTATTTGAATTATGTGAATCACAGATGTTCCATTACCCCCCCCCCCCCCCCAGCTGTTCCCTCTGAGCGTTTTTATCGTAACAATTACTCCAACTGATCTTTGATCTGAGGTCATGCCTATAGTTTTTGCCTGCTGGGAAATGGGCGTGACCTTTGGGGAAAAAGGTGTCTCTGCTTTTTTTTTTTTTTTTTTTTTTTTTTTTTTTTGCATGTTTACAAGAGACAAGATACACAGGGTGAAGATCTGGTTGGTAATGTGTCCTGAAACACGCTTATACATATACATACATGTGAGCAAACGGTCATGGTGGAAGTGCGTGCACGCTCCCTCCTGCTCTCACATATATAAACATGAAGACACTCACTCACAGACACATGTATACTTGGTGGAGCTCAGTGACAGTTGTTTGAAGTGAAACAGCTGTAGCTCGATAAGAGATAAAAAAAAAAAAAATAAAAAAAAATTCCCTCTGTGTGTGATGCACCTCTGTGAAACACACAAATGTACATGTGAGTACATGAATCAGGGCTGGATGTGTTCCACCTGTTTGTATTTACACTGAGCTTTAGGTTTTTGGCAGAGAGGCAGGAAAAGTCTCTCTCACTCGCTTTTGTTCTCCTTGTATTCCTGCCCTCCCTCCCGTCTCCCCGTGTTTACACACTGCCCACACTGTGTTTGGAGATTATTGACAATCCCTGCATCGCCGTTCTCCAAATGTTTATGCTGTACTCCTGATCACCAGCCAGGAGCGAGGCCTTACCCAAGGATACTATGAGAAAGGGTCTGGTAGGCCCTAATGAGCGTGTTTTAGCCTTGGGTTTCTCATTGAGAAGCGAGGGGTTCGGTTGTGTTTAGATGTGGATCACACATACTGTATGTGCTCGTAGATATAAACATACGCCCATGTGCACACGCACGCGCACGCACACACACACACACACACACACACACAGCTTACATCTGTTGCCCACGTATGTTGTTCAAATAGTGATACTCACAGGCTCAATAACAGCAGGCTCTCCCTTCTGTCCCTTCTCGCCATGAGCTCTGTTGACCTACACACCAAACATACAGACACAAACATAATCAGCCCCCCCTTCCTCTTCATCACCATCATTATGCTATGCTCTTCATCTTCAAGATCATGTCTTTGGCAGTGTGTTCTTCCGTTATTTTTCACCTCTCCATAATAGGAATCTGTCTCAGCAGGCAGCAGTTTCCGCTCTTCTTCGTAATTCAGGTCATCAAAGTTGTCGTAATTATCTAAATCAGTATAGTCTGTGAGGTGCTCCTCCTTGAACCCATCCAGATCGGTGTAGTCGCCCTCGCCCTCCACGCCAAGGCCGGCTCCCGTGGCGATGGACCCCCCAGCTCCGGTGCCAGCGCTGGCTGATCCACCTCCAGCAGAGGAAGATCCTCCCGCTGAGACAGAACCTCCTCCGACAGTGATGGTAGAACTGCTGCTGCCGCCGCCTCCTTCGCCGCCGCTGATGTGAACTGTCCTGTCGCTGCCGCCACCGCCGCCTCCGCCGCCTCCGCCGCCACCACCGCCTCCACCGCCTCCACCACTGATGTGCACAGAGCTGCTTTCTCCACCACCAATGTGACCTGTACTGCTACTGCTGCTGCCGCCACCTCCACCGGTGGTGTAATAATCATATTCATCGCCGTAGTCATCGTAGGAACCTCCCACCTATAAAAACACCAATATAGTAAGTTAGTTATTACACAGACACATTGATTGATTCACTGATTGATCGATTGTTTCAGCTCTATAGGGAACTAATTTCTTCCCAAAGCTGCAGCGATGTAAATTTCTATAAAATAATTCATTCCTTTGCGGTGGGATTTTTAAATACGTCCACACTGGTACTGCTACCCCCACGTGGATTGGTGGATTATAACAAGAAGAAGGGCCTCGACTTAAGGCTGCTACATGAAAGCTTTCTCTGCTGCTGAATGTAGTTTCTTGCCGGCACCAGTTGGTGATGGTCGCTCGAGAGGTTATAATACGTCCTCTGTGCAGCTACTTCTTCAGGACAGACTGGACGCTACAGTGACTCGGTATCGGAAAGTGACAAGACAGTCCGACCGTGCCAGGGCTAGCTAGTCAGCATGCTAACTTCAGTAGAAGAAAAGAAGTGATAGAAATAAAAGTAAAACAAGAGTTAACATGTTTGTGTTTCTTTCCAGCTCTGCAGACAGCTGTTGGTGAGTAAAAGAATGAACTCACGACGTTGCTACTAGACTGGTGGGTAAACAGCTGCTGATGTTAACGTTGGCTATGTAGCAAAAACTTACATATAGCTCCTTTAAGTATCCCACACACCTTGTATAGAGTACACAACAACAATTAAGTCAGGAAGTCAGTGTAATTAATGTCAACCTACTGATGTGTCATTGATGATGATCTTTGAACCTCCTGTTCCCCTGGTGATGACGCTCCTTTCGATTCCGGTCCCTGCGCCCAAGTCAATCTGGCCCCCTGCTCCCAAATCCAGTTCACCCCCGGTGCCAACGCTGGTGATGGTGACACGTCGAGAGGTGTCACCATCGGGTGCCGCCGTGGTCTCATCGTAGTACGTCTCGTAGGTACCGTAGGTGTCGTAGGTGTCGTAAGGGCTGGCCTCTTCTCCGTAGGCGTCTCCTCCGCCACCGGCGGTGCCTGAAGAGCTCGAAGAAGAGCTGCTGGATGAGGAGCCAGAGGATGAGGAGCCAGAGGATGAGGAGCCAGAGGATGAGGAGCCTGAGGATGAGGAGCCAGAGGATGAGGAGCCTGGGGATGAGGAGCCTGTGGAAATGGAGGTCAAGACTTTGCTGCCGGTGCCATCAGAACCGCCCCTCAAGACCTCCTCCACTGTGGTCACCACACTGTCTCCACCTGGCACCTGTAAGGCATAGAGGACATTTGAACATATGAAATCGTAAGATTGCATACAGATTATTAGATGAAATCCATCCGTGGAAAAACATATATTTGTAGAATACCTTGACTTCTTTTGTGGTTGTCTCAGAATCAGAGGTTGATTCATAAGGCTTGCCATCCACGTCCTCATAGTAAGGGTATTCATAATAGTAGCTGTCTTCCTCTGTGTTCTAAAGGAGAGAAACATTACACAGTGTGACTGAGAGAGAAAAAATAGCTATCAATTATTAAAAGCATGGTTTTTTAAATACGATCCACTGCTCCGTTGCTGCTGCGAGGCTGATGCATGTGCGACAGACCGGCCATCGATCAGACGCACGCACCAATATCTCCTCCTTGCTGAAACCTCATGCTGTGTCTCCCTGTTGCAACATGTTACGGCTCAATGACAGATTACTTTTCCACTGCTTTCTTAATGAAACTGTCTGGGGGAAAAAAAAAAAAAAAAAAAAAAGCGGGTACCCTGCAGGCTCACTGACAGGCCCCTGGGCCAAAGAAAAAGGTCAAGAGGAAGAGCTTCCTGTCCGTCTTCTAACGACTTCTCTGACACACCTTTGATTAGCATGTTCACAGTGTATTGGTATTCAGTGCAGATGCAGGCTTAGGCAGGCACCACATCATTCCTGAACATTATAAACAAATTGCATAGCCTGATAACACTCTTCTTCTCAGTCAGCACTTTTCCTCTGGCACAGTGCAGGTCTCCTGCATAAGCCAAGAGGCTCTTTTCAGCACAGGATCCAACCAAGATCTGATTTGAGTATTAGACACAATTATGGATTAAGGGAAATTAACTTCCTTGAGTTTCTACAATACCCTGCATCCTCATGCTATATGCAAACATCTAGCAAAATTCCATCTGGTCATAAGCGACACTGTGAGTTCAGAGCATATAGAAACTGAAGATAATAACGGTCATGTTACTTACGTATTCGTCTGTGTTGGGGTCCTGGTTCTGAGGCTGATCGGGCACTGGCACTTCGCAATCAGGGCTGTAGTGCTCACAGTAGTCATAGGCAGCACGATGGTCTGCTACAATCATTAGCTGCTGGATGTCTCCCTGGAAACCACCAAAGAAACAGGAAGGGATGAGACTCACTGGACACGGATACAAGGTCATGCATGTAAATAAACAAGCAAACAGCCATTAGCGACAGACATGGCGGTCTCACACTCTGTGGCCCCTGGGGGGGGGGGGGGGGGGATGAAAGCAAATAAAGATGAGGGAGAACATCTGTGTGCAGCATTATCACATGCAGAACAGGCAGCGCTGAAACTAGGTCAAACCATGGGGAATCTAAGGGTGACTAAGTGATGAAGAACTTTGTCTGGAGTCCAAGAGTGTCGATTCGCATCAGGGCTGAGCACCGGACTGTGAGACAAGAAAGCTTGCAGCAAACAGTGTGGAGTTACAAGAGAACATGGAACAAGTGACTTCATGTAGCTGCGGACGATGATACAAACAATCACACAACCACAGGCTCTCTCTCTCTCTCTCTCTCTCTCTCTCACACACACACACACACACACACACACACACACACACACAAGCACAGAGCACATTTTTACCAAGATGAATGATTTTAAACAGAACACATAAGCCCAGCCCGAGATCTGAACGGGACATGAGTGATTCCGCCCTCGAGCTGATTGTATAAGACGAATTTATCAACTCAGCCTGTGCGACACGGAGAACATGAGCAGACCTGCGCTTACAGATAGCTAACCCGAGCCATCCGACTTAAAGGTGTGTGTGCATAAACGAAGTTGAGGCGCAGGGGTGGGTGGGGAGGGAGGGAGGGGTGAGGCAGGGGACGATAAGGGGGGGATGGAACAGTAGCAGAAGGAGAGAGATTCAAAGAAAGAGACAGAAAAGAGTAGATTGAGAGAAAAAGAGCACGAGAGAACAAGGGAGAAGAAGAAAAGGCTCAGAAGGATCCCCAGGCTACATAGGGAGCTGGGTGTGGGTGTCTGCCACATGTTTTCTGAACAGAATGCATATGGCACCGAATACGCTATATTGTATCCATCCAAACGTGTCCCGATCACTCTTCCAAATGCAGTGATGTCATTCCACATCAATCAAACTCAGTGACTTCTGCTGAAGCAAATATATTTGCGGAGGGAGGTATGAGAATCACGAAGCGACGCAACTCTGGGAACAGACCGCCACAGAGCATGAAGTGTTTTTGATTATGTCCGATTGCCAAAAGTCTGAAATCCCTCAACATGTCTTTCCAGATGAAATTCTCCACGGACGGCTATCTATTCTGACAACCAGAAATGGATTGCATTTGTGGTCTAACCGGTGACAGTTCAGTGAGGACTACAAATCCCAATGCTACACACTCGAAACATACCACACAGAACTCCGTGTCTGGCATCCTTTAAAGACCCCTCGCAAAACTCCACAAGATGATGTTTCCTGCTCCGTCCTTGGCTTATGTTATCAGTGAGGTTTATGGTGGATGCAGGGAAAACAAATCCCAATACTTCCTCCAAGACAGAAGGACCGGAGTAGCCATTACACAACTCTCCCAGCTATGAACCCTGAGCTCCCAGGAAACTTTCAAATGGCTACTTCTGAGCCATTTGCCCAAAGTCACACTCGGCGCGGAGGCTAGACTTGGTATCAGTTTGACAGTCTGCGCCCCCCACCCCCCCCTCATCCTGGCAAGACCGTGTGTCACAGCTGCACCGTGAGGGGATGATGGGATTTCACTGTTTGAAATGAGGTCACATTCAATAAGGAATAAGCCTTCAGTGCAACAACAACAGCCCTGCCGTCTGGAGCATTGCAACAGCTTTCCCATTCACATGCCATTCTTCTGCTTTTCCTTTTTCTTTTTTTTTCTTTTTCCCTTACACTCTTTTTCTTCACCTCGCAGAGCAGGCGGGGGGGAACGTCAACGCGGATCCTGACCACAAGTGGTGCGATCCCAATTTCAGCGAGATGAGCTAATTAATCATACACCTTTAGCATTAAGGAGAACATCCTCGCGGCACTGAGGGCACCGTGGAAGAATGTGTTTAATGGTGTGTGACATGTACACACAGAGAGAGAAAGTGTGCATGCCTAGAAAGAAAAGTGTTCTGTTATACGGGGCTTATTGAAGCTGGAGAAGCTGATGGCTGCATTTGATTGTACTAACAGTACAGCCAGAGGCATATGAGAGGGGAGGGGGGGGGGTTGGATAGGGAATGTGAGCCTGAGCTGAGCTGTGCTCAGTTGTGTTGGACCAATCATCGCGGGCCAGTTCCAGCCGTCTGAAGTTTTATTCTGTGTTAAAAGTTCTGGACTATAAAAAGAGGAAGCCAAGCACTGAGCGCTGCACAGAAACCAACTGCAGATGGATAGGCAAAGAAAATTTTAGGAACAATCACTTCTCACTTAGAGGGGCGTTCGAGCAACTTTAAATTGCACTTAGATTAAGTCTAGAGAACAGCGAGAGAGAAAAAGAAAATCAATGCAGCAGACTCAGATATATCCTCACTTTTCCACTTAGTTTGGGTTTAGCTCCAAAAACACAGGGTCTTATATTTCCCAGAGTGTCACTTCATAGTGTCTCTTCATTAGACCTTCCCCGCCTGGTAAATGCTAACATCTATCAACCTCCGCACCATCTTGGAACACACACTTTCTGTTATAGACCCTGAAGGCATCACAATGACATTGTTAGGGGTTATTTTCTCCTCCAGAGCTCCAAATCTTTTCACGGGCTGTGTGGTGTTCTCTGTAACTGCTAAAAATCCACAATTTTACACAAATAATTGTGTGCATACTTGTTTCATTTCCTGTTTCTGATCAGATACAGACAATGGTATTAAATCACACACAATCTACAGTCTAAGCCAGAAATTCTGCATCACAAAAGATGCCTGTTTTCCCTAATTATTTCGTTTTCCATCCTCCATCTTTACACACAAATTATTTCTGCACTGATATAAAAGCCCTACAGTACATTTGTTCCCATGAGAGCTGCACACCTTCACAGTAAAACTATTGTCATAAGTCTTTATCCACCGTGACAACCACTAAAGCTGGTGCTGATTTCCTTTTCTCTGAGCCAGAGCTGCTCTTTTCACCGCACGTCACTCGACAGATTCCGGTGCCAAGCGTTATATAAGCCGCTGTTTTACAGATGTAAGGGAAGCGGTAAATATTCCTATACTGTACTCCAGCTGTATGCTAATGCCAAGTTTCTCATTTAGTATTTAGCATTCTGGTGATGAACGGTCAACGCCGTCCAACAGCCCATTAAAGCCTGAGATATTCACGCTATTACTTGTATATGGAAGGTACTTCTCTATATTTTGATGACAGGAAACTGCAGCTACTGCAAATGCAGAGTCAGGGATTCAGCGTGTGATAAGGATGATTGGTTAACCCCAACACTTAAACTTAAGAACACCTAAAAAAAAAAAAAAAAAAAGAAAAAAAAGGAACTTATGGATCATTCTTCACCTCAAATACACAGCGACAAAAAAGCAAGAGCAAAATATACCATATATGAGATGATGCACAGCTCTATATACAGACACATAAGCACCAATCTCACACCCAGAGAGAGCACACCGAAGGAAAGAAAAACCCTGGAATTACACAATCACACCCAAACTCCTCGGGGAACCATAAAAGACATGCAATCAGCTCTCCATATTTGAAGAGGGGACAGTGGCATTTTTCACTCTGGAGCATCATGTGGCACATCAGAGTGGTGCTTAAGGCAGAATTTTGAGACAATAACAGGGCTGCCGCTGTCACCATCTCCCTGAATCCCGCTGAAATATGACTCTGCTCCTGGCCGACGCTCTCTCTCCTCATGTCGAGCCCTGGTGGAAAAGCCGTCGGCTGCGGCTGCGAGCGGCGGGCGACCTCACTTCACATAATTCATGTTAAAGAAGCTACACACACATACACACACACACACACACACACACAAAACTTGCACGTGAATGTGTGAGTGGTTACAGGGGGGGGTCGCAGCTTATAATTAGATCACGGAAGCCGAGCAAATCCAGACTGATCAATAACACTTAAAAAACGTTCGCATTAATCTGTCGTTTCTGCATTTTAGCAAATAAAATGTCACATCATCTTTCGGGCTTTTCATTTCCAGATCCTCACCCTGTTTGGCCCCCGCATTTTTTTTTTTTTTTTTTTTAAATCCCTGCTGGATGTTCTGGCTGTGTCCAGGTGGGGGCAGGAGAGTGCTCCAGTGAGCACAAAGCCAAACATCTGCCTCCATCTGAACCTGACCCACAATCATGACGGGTGGACCGAGTTCATTGGCTCTCTTATTATAAAAGATGTGATGCATGAATGGGATATATTATTGCTGTATGAGCGGCTGAAATTGAACAAAATCAACCACATGCAGACACTCTCTTCTCTCTTTCATACACACACACACACACACACACTTCAGGCATGAAGTGAAAGGTTAGTTCTTTCGACTAGAGCAAGGTCTCGGGGTGATGTCAGACGACCCCCTGCTGCTCAGTTTAGGGATGCTGCTTCATGAAGTCTTTCTTGGCTTAGAGTGGCATAGGAAGAAATAAACAGCATAAACTGATGCTCATTATTTCCCCATATCCCCAGGGACAGCTGGTAATGACTCTGTTTACCTTCTTTAAACTTTACATTAAACAAAGACAGCAGCTTTAAGAAGGAAAACTCAAGTCTAGTTTTTCATCATTTCTTCTGGTCAGATGTCAGCAAAAGGGAAAACGGGTAGGATGGGGCCCCACGGAGCTGGATAAGACTCTGGGAGGTCCGAGCTCTGGCTGTATTTTAAAGCGAACTACTTTCACAGCATATTTACACAGTCACCCATGAGCTCTGAGCCAGGCCCTGGTCCCACCGCCAGCCCACACCGGCACACTCACAGTCCCAGCGCCTGGGCATTCTCCAACCTGACCACAAAAACCAAACAACACACAGCAGAGGTCAGCTCACTGCACAGGGGCCATAAATCAGCACGGACACACACACACACACACACACACACACACTCACACACACACACACACACACACACACATGTAAGCACACAAGAT